CCAAAAAGTAAAAAATTCTCCCAAAGTAATTTTTCCTATCTGGCATTTTAGAATTTACAACCCAAACATCTGTACTCCTTAACCGCACACAGTCACGGCCAATGATCTTTGCTCTCTCAAAAAAAATCGCAGTAAAACGTGCACATCATGGGCCGCATCATCACGTCCATATGAAGAGCAAAACAAATTAAAGTCTCACTATTATAGTAGAGTGGGTGTGGCACCTTTTCACCCTGGCCCTTCATTTGTCTCAAACTGGACCAAACGGTGCACTCCGTTGTGAACCGGAATACGTCAAACAGCATATTCTAGAACATTTTAATACAAGTCTATGTAAAACCTGAGCCGAGCCATTTGAGTGACAACAGAAGTGTGGATTGAAGTGGTGAAGTGAAACACTCCCAAAATGTATCCAAATAATTTAGTCATCTCTCCCCCCCCCCCCCCCTTTTTTTTTTTTAAACTACTCACTCTTCGGCAAAAAAAAGAAAGAAAGAAGAGCACAAAGGGAATATTTCCTACTTAGTTTAACAGAACCAGACCTCGATTCTATTCAATATTTAATTTTGTCGACGGTCACCTTACAATAAGAGCTACAGTTGGACATGGATACCTCCAACACACCGGGGATTGACAAACATCCATAGGTAGGGTAAACCGATCTTTAAAAAAATCAAAGTGATATCGGTCGAGGAATGGCAAATTGTACGAGCTATTCGTGATTCCGAGTTTCCCGTGCATAACATGATTATCTGTGCCCGAATGTAATAGAAATTTTCACAGAAGGGATGGGGGGGGGGGGTAGGAGGGTTGGGCAAAGGTAACAAGGTCAATATAGCACAAAAACTTAAGGCAACCAACGACTCGTTTATCATAGATCGGCTCACTTCCATTCCAGACAACAAATGGTAGAGAGGACGGTATAGGCAAATCCTGAATTCTGCTAGTCAGTGTTACTCGATTCTGGTGTCAGCATAGGTCACACATTGTCAGGGTCATTCTACAATTGTCATGTATCGGGGGTTCCAGATAGAGTCGTTATTTGAATACATTTGTACTTGCACAAATTATTTATAACAAAATACCCACCACCTCCTCCCTGCCTTCCCTCCCCCCTCACCCCTCCCC